TTTATGTTGTCGTTACATTGTTGTGTTTGACATCATACCAGTGACCATTAAATGTTTAAGTTAATTTTATCTGTTGAGCAACTCACACAGATCAAGTCATGTTTCTTACACTATTTATGTTGTCGTTACATTGTTGTTTTGACATCATACCAGTGACCATTAAATGTTTAAGTTAATTTTATCTGTTGAGCAACTCCACAGATCAAGTCATGTTTCTTACACTATTTATGTTGTCGTTACATTGTTGTGTCATTGACCATCATGTTGAGCCCATGATCATTAAATGTTTATGTTAATTTTATCTGTTGAGCAACATCACACAGATCATTAAATGTTTAAGTTAATTTTATCTGTTGAGCAACTCACATTTATGTTGAGTTACTCAAGATCAAGTCATTTCTTACACTATTTATGTTGTCGTTACATTGTTGTGTTTGACATCATACCCATGACCATTAAATGTTTAAGTTAATTTTATCTGTTGAGCAACTCACACAGATCAAGTCATGTTTCTTACACTATTTATGTTGTCGTTACATTGTTGTGTTTGACATCATACCCATGACCATTAAATGTTTAAGTTAATTTTTATCTGTTGAGCAACTCACACAGATCAAGTCATGTTTCTTACACTATTTATGTTGTCGTTACATTGTTGTGTTTGACATCATACCCATGATCATTAAATGTTTAAGTTAATTTTTATCTGTTGAGCAACTCACACAGATCAAGTCATGTTTCTTACACTATTTATGTTGTCGTTACATTGTTGTGTTTGACATCATACCCATGACCATTAAATGTTTAAGTTAATTTTATCTGTTGAGCAACTCACACAGATCAAGTCATGTTTCTTACACTATTTATGTTGTCGTTACATTGTTGTGTTTGACATCATACCCATGACCATTAAATGTTTAAGTTAATTTTATCTGTTGAGCAACTCACACAGATCAAGTCATGTTTCTTACACTATTTATGTTGTCGTTACATTGTTGTGTTTGACATCATACCAGGTACCATTAAATGCTTAAGTTAATTTTATCTGTTGAGCAACCCACACAGATCAAATCATGTTTCTTACACTAGGTGGCGTATGTCAGATGGGAATCCGTAGAACTGACAGCCTCTGAAGAAATCATGATGTTTCTCTTTGAATCTGTGATAGAATTGCTTTGACTCATTTTCTTGCATAAAGAACTGGATTTTCCTCTTGTATGACTGTTTTCTGGTGTACAACGATCCGAAATGCCATACGTAACTATGTCCATGCGTTTTAAGGGTCACAAGGTCCGCGGATTCTGTATATTTTTCAGAATGTGTACCTTAAGATATTCGTTGAAATTAAATTTTTATAATGGTTGAAACATTGTTTTGTTTGAAACGTTTCCATTTCATGATGTCTCTTCTTTGAGTGTTGCAAAATATTGGAAATTATTCCCATTGATAGAATCTGATAAGGTTATAAATATAGGCAAATAGTGAACTCCAAAGAAAAAATACTATGAAAGTATAAAAATACATTTTTACAGTAAAAATACCAGAAATACATTTTATATAAAAAATACCGACAACAGATATTTATAGTAAAATTAGCAACAAAAATGTCCAGCAAAATGTTCTCCAATACATTTCATAATAGAATTACCAACAATATATTTTTTAGCAAATAACGAACAATATATTTTATCTATAGTTGAAGGCACACAATTGCGTTCAAAATATATTTAGTTGAATCCATAAAAATATGTTCAAATATTAAGACTTCGACATTAAATAACACATAGAGGTGTTGACATGCCGCAAAACAAAATCAACTAACTAACGCCAAAACCTTGAAATTTTATTTATTATTTATTTATTTTTCTTTAACAGGATCCGGTTCACCCTCCTTTCCAGTCTTTTGAACAGGGGGGGGGTAGATTTTTATCCTTTGTTCCCTGTTGAGGATTGAGTTTTCTTTTAAAGTCTGCTCAAGCTCTATACTCCTAGCGTTCATTCTTTCACTAATATAAGTCCACAAAGTAACTATCTACACTGAGTGACTTCTGGTTCTTGTATTGAGTGGACAATAGTCAAGAAAAGAACATTTTTTCTTGCTACTTCTTGGTTTGAATATTTGCATTATATCAATGCTAACCGTTTCTGCGTGTCATTTTTAGAAAACGAAAACCCTGTAGAAAATGGATCTGTATTTGTTGGATGTATAAATATATGTGAAACTAAAGTAAAGATGATGAGACAAAGCGTAAAATCTATTAACGATGACTCTATAAAAAGTCTCTATTATATGTATATGCGTTGTGTGTGTATGTATGTACACACACACACATCCTACATATATATATATATACATATATATACACACACACACACACGCATGCACACAGACCCAGACACACACACACACACACACAGACACAGACACACACACACACACACACACACACACACACACACACACACACATATATATATATATATATATATATATATGAATGAAAAAATATAGATTATGTACAATACTAATGATTTTTATTATGAATCAAATTGCTGAAAGTCTTCTTTCGATAATTATGGATAAAACTACTACTCAAAATAAATACTGAAATAGTTTAAGATGTAATAAATATTAATATTTTTAAAATAAAGCATCCTCTAGTACTTGTATAAAAAATCAATATTTAATTTTAGTTTAGCTCAATAGATATATATCTTAGATATTTAAGTATATATATATATATATATATATATATATATATATATATATATATATATAAAATGTAAATAAATAAATAAAATAACACAAAATAAAGAGTATTTTTTAATACACATACCTATACTACAGATTTAAGAGCCTTACCTTAATTAGACCTTATTCTGTTGGAGAATCGGATGACTTCATATTTTCACCTGCATAAGATTATTAATTTTTTAAAAGGTAATACTGAAAATACATGCCCATTTTTACTAAAACAATATATTTCACCATGAGAACTACAAGCATATTAACACCCCAAAACATCTGAATATAATGATATAATTATTTATAAGAGTATATGTGTTTGTAGGATGTATAATTGTATCTGAAACAAAAGTGAAGATGATTAGATAAAGCGGAAATTCTATTAACGATGGCTCTATAAAAAGTTTGTATTATATGTATATGCGTGATGTATGTATGTATGTACACACAAATACATACATACATACATACATACATACTCTACTCGACTCTCCTGTCGAATTCATAAATACATACATACATATATATATATATATATATATATATATATATATATATATATATATATATGTATGTATGTATGTATGTATATGTATATATGCATGTATAATAAAAAACAGTCTCTAGTAGCGGTGGACTGATTTAAAATCCGACAACATCAAATGCCTCTGATATAGATAAAACAAACAAGTAAACAAACAGATGAACAGACACTCTCTTGTGTCTGGACATTGGTGGTAAGAAGGTATCTAATTTAATTTGTATTATAGTCACTACTGAGCATCACAGAACCCAAGGCATTTTTCCTCACACACAGTTTTGTTTTTCTTTCATTCTAACCTGAGGAAGCCAAAGAGTGCAGACCTCACTGGGCGAAACGAGTTGTTAATAAATTTTCCACTTAAACGATTAAAAATGATTCCTATAGAGTGTTCTAATTTCTAAGTAAGTATTGGTTCGTATAAAAACATATGTTCTATTTCCCCTATTACTATCAAGACCAGTGTGTCCATCTTGGTTGTTATACGCTCAAAGTTTTAAACGTTGTACTCCCTATCTAGCCTTCTTCAGGTGTCTGCCTCCGTTCACAGCAAACTTCTTGGAATTTGGAATCGAACCTTTTCTTCAGTCTGAGAGTAGTTCTCATTGTGTTCTCCAAGATTAGCGGATATTTCATATCTGTTAATACTCGCAAATATTCATCTTTATGTCGAATGTTTGAATTTTTCCTTAACTAGAGTATGTGACTTTTCAGCACTACTTGAATCAGAGATTGAACTCACAACTGTCAGGGAGCCAGATATAATTTAACTAACCCTTTTTTTGTATTTGTTAAAATTATGTGAAGCATATGAAGTACGACGATATACACCTGAAGACGGAGACGATAACTGAAATATTTGTAATTATATCAACGAAGATGAGCATGGTGAAACAAATAGTAAAATGTATACAAATAATTATAATTCTTCGCCTAAAAATTTCGAAAAAATTTCCATTACTGTTCTATATTTTTAGTCAAATAAATCGAAAACAATGTAAAATTGATCAATAGGCATTTTTTACAATTAACAGTAAGTTCTCTTACAAGGTTAAAATCGTTGATATAAACTTTGCGACTAAAATAATTTTCAGTAAGGTTGACATAGTTTAGCAGGAGTATCCCTTGCAGGTATACAAGTAACAAAACAGAAACTAATTTGTTAACAAATAAGTCATGTGTATTTTTCATGCTTGTCTAAATTCCGAATAATTAAAAATACCTTCATAAAATTCAGAACTCTGGTGGAAGTACACGTTCGAACTTCTAATCGATTTCTTATTTTTCTTATTATTATTACAATCTATATTGAATGATTGGTTTGTTTTTGCAGTTTATCAAATTTTTCCAGGTTATTTAAAACTAGAATGTTTTAGAATGTAAGATTTATTTTAGGAGATAGTGATTTACTGAATCAATTTCTACAAATTAACATATAGCAAGTGGGAATAAGTTGGATTCATATCTTTCACAAGTGTATTTCCGTAGAAGTGAATATAACAAACACAACTGGAATTTGAACTCGGCTCTCCTATTTCAAATTCCAGGCCGTTGTCCGTACCCATAAAATATTCTTAGATTGTAAGTATATGTTCGATACAACTTCTACTGATTAATCTATAAGAAAGTGAAAGAAGAAGTACATTCATACGTGTAATTCCCTGTGGTATTTGCGAGGAACGCAATTACATGTCATCAGCCGCACATCCATGTTTACGGCACCTTGTATACCCAAACGGCCACCCATCTGGGTACTGAAGAGATTCGACATTGCTTAACTTCGATGATCGTACGAGAACTGGCGTTTCAACTTGATATGGCCGTAAGTCCATTACACCACACGCACATCCAAACGTATAGCACCCTGTATTCACAATCGGTCACTCATCTAGATACTGAAAATATTCGACGTTGCTTAACTTCGATGATTGTACGAGAAACGGTGTTTGAACGTGATATGGCAGTAAGATCATTACACCACCCGCACATCCAAGCTTACAGCACATTGTATTCCCAAGCGATCACCCATCTAGGTATGGAACAGTTTCGACATTGTTTAACTTCGATGACCATCCAATAACCGGTGTTTCAAAGTGATATGGCCGTAAGCCCATTACACCACCCGAAAATCGATGCTTACAGCAACTTGTATTACCAAGCAGTCATCCATCTAGATAATGCAAAGATTCGACGTTGCTTAACTTCGTTGATTGTACGAGAATCGGTGATTCAGCCTGATATGGCCGTAAGCCAATTACACGACTCGCAATACAGAACCTTTATTCATAAGCGGTCAGTCATCTAAGTAGTGAACAGATTCATTAGTTAACTCCGGTGATTGTACGAGAACCGCTGTTTCAACATGATATGGCCGTAAGCTCATTACACAATCTGCACATCCAAGCTTACAGCACCTTATATTTCCAAGCAGTCACCCATCTAGATACTGAAAAGTTTCGACGATTCTTAACATCGTTGATTGTACGAGAACCGGTGTTTCAAAGTGATATGACAGTAAGACCATTGCACCACCCGCACATCCAAGCTTACAGCACATTGTATTCCCAAGCGGTCACCCATTTAGATACTGAAAATATTCGACGTTGCTTAACTTCGATGATTGTACGAGAACCGGTATTTGAACGTGATATGGCAGTAAGACCATTGCACCATCCAAGCTTACACACCTTTATCCGCAAGCGGTCACCCATCTAGATACTGAACAGATTCGAATTTGCTTAACTTCGTTGATTGTTCGAGAACCGGTGCTTCAAAGTGATATGTCAGTAAGACCATTGCACTACTTTCACATCCAAGCTTAAAACAAATTGTATTCTCAAGCGGTCACCCATCTAGGTATTGAGCAAACTCAACATTGCTTAACTTCGGTGATTGCAGGAGAACCGGTATTTCAACGTGATATGGCCGTGAGCACATTACACCCGCAACACACATCCAAGGTTACAGTACCTTGTATTCCCAGGTGGTAGTCCATCTCGGTAACGAACAGATTCGATATTGATTAACTTCGATGATTGTCCAAGAAGCGGTGTTTCAACGTGATATGGCCGTCAGACCATTACACCACCCGCACATCCCTGCTTACAGCGCCTTGTATTCACAGGTAGTCGTCCATTTCGATAACGAACAGATACAACATTGCTTAAATTCGATGATCGTCCGATAAGCGCTGCTTGCATTTGATATGGCCTAAGCACTTTACACTACATAGACATCCAAGCTTACAGCACCTTGTATTCTGAAGCGGTCACCCATCTAGTTATTGAACGTACTCAACACTGCTGAACTTCGGTGACTGTACGAGAAATAGTGTTTCCACTTGATAAGGCCGTAAGCCTTATTACAATCCATAGAAAAATAACACCAAACAATCTTCATTTATTACCGTTATCGTCTCAATAGACAATGTTTTAAGAAATAAATTTGTTCGATTTAATGCCCATTATTTGTGAACGATTTGCAATAATGTTTATGAAAGTTTCCTTCGAACTGAAATTATAATTTATAAATTTAAGCACAGTATTAGATTAGCGGGAACATCTCATCATTTTAGAGTGAAATGGCGAGATGCAATCGTAAAATCTATGTTCTTAAATCCTGTTCTTTTATTGTTTTCGCTTTAATTTTTAATTTTGTTTATTCGTTATTCTACACTCAAGTAACCCCTTGCGAAGTAGAGGCTTTATTGCCTTGCTTGAAGGGAAATCATAAAAATATACGTCTTTTAGTAATAGTGTACGCTTATTGAAATAGCAGTACCATTTGAGAGAAACACCTTCATAAAAATGATCGAGAAATTCTCCAAATACAAGGACGTGGAGAACGAGATTAACAGGACGTGGTGAATGAAGACTGAGATTGTACCAATAGTAATCGAAACTCTGGATACGCGAGAAAAGGAATGGATAATTTTAGTAACAGTTTCCCATGTAACATCAACATACAAGTTGCCCAGAAGATCGCCCTACTAGGTACATCACCTATACTAAGAAAAGTGCTATCAATTAAATGACAATTCTCCTATAGCACTTAAGGACCATAGTTTTGGACCTGGCTCTACAGGATACAAAACATGACACACAAATAATAATAATAATAATAATAATAATAATAATAAAATTGCTGATGCTCAGGTTGGAAGTGTTCATGTGCTGAGGAAAAGAGTTGTGTTTCTAAACCCTAGATAGAAGCTAAGATATCATCTTTATCTGAACACAATATCTGACAATCGGTTAGTATATCAAATGATGATAATGATGCTAATGATGATGATGATGAATTACCTGGAATAGATGATATATCAATATTACAACCTTCTTCATCTAGATAAATGGTATGAATGCAAACCACCACCATTGAAAGATAGTAAAAATGTACAGTGCCCTGAATCTTCACTATACATACCAACTGCACTATACAAGACAATAGACATTATATTATAATAAAAGACTCAAGACTCGTACTTTGCGATTATTATTATTATTATTATTATTTCTGGATCTGTTGTCTCTTACAATTATTTAAAATATTTTCTGTTAATACCTTATTTTTATAGATATAATTTAAGAAAATAGTCTGTCTTTTAATTAAATAGTGTTAATTCAGTCCGGTAAAAGTAATAATACTATTAAAATAAAAATGTGTCATCATATAAACATAAAACTATCTCAAGGAATGAATTTGACATATTTTTGAAATATTAGAAATCTAGGAATATAAGTTGTAAGAATGTTGCCTTTAGACATAGACAATGTTCCAACGATAATGGGAGGATTAGAAATGATTGAAAGCAATACGGATATTGACATTAAGAAACTCATAAAAAAATTAATCTCTGTCTGAGATGTAAAAGATTGTTTTCATGTTATTCACTGACATTCAGAAAAACTCAACGTAATAGGAATAACAGCTTTCTAAGAATAGATTCATTTATCTTATGTCTTAGTTGAATGATTTTATAATGGACAGTACCAAAAAATGTGGCATTTAAACACAGTGTCATTTCTAACGGATGAAGAAAATCCCAGAAAAGCAACTCTTATTTGAGATACACAAGAATGTGTCCATAAGCAATGATCACATAATAAAAAAAATCTCTCTATGTAAAATGTTCATTTACTTCTTAAAAAGAAAAACTATCCTGACTTCAGGTTTTGGATAAAAGATATTGTAAAGGATTGTAAGAGACAACAGATCCGGAAATAATAATAATAATAATAATAATAATAATAATAATAATAATCACAAAGTTCATCCCACACATTACGAAGGGATTTATCTATGTAAAATATGTGAGATTTTGTTTTTCAAAACTTCTCACTGGAAAATGGCATGATGCCATTTCTGACCTAAGGTCGCTGGTCGGGAACCGAAAAGAAATGAGTATACACCAGAGGAAATGATAATAATAATAATAATAATAAAAATAATGATAACAATAATAATAATAATATTAATAAAAATAATGATAACAATAATAATAATAAGATAAACCGCTTCATGGCCAATACTCTGCCCGTACCAAACAAGCTGACGTAGACAAACCCGTACCCATCAGTGGCTACGTAGTGCAGGGTTGAAAGCGGAAACTGAAGGTTTTATCCTTGTTGCGCAGGACCAATGCTTGCTAACTAGGAATTATCAAGCACATATACTAAAATATTGTGTCAGCCCAAAATGCAGATTCTGTGATAAATATCCAGAAACGATTGATCATCTTGTATCAGGTTGCACGATGTTGGCACCCACTGAATATAAAATCCGACATGACAAAGTGGGCCAATATCTGCACTGGAAAATCTGCAACTTCTACGGGAAGGAAACTGAAAGAAACTGGTATGAACACCACCCAGACCCGGTTACGGAGATAGGACCTGTTACAATTCTATGGGACTACACAATACACACTGACAGAACAATCAAGGCCAACCGGCCAGATATTGTTATTAAAGACCACAAACAAAAACGATGCCTCCTTATTGATATGGCAGTCCCTGCTGACTGGAATGTATCTTTGAAGATATTCAAAAAGTTGTCAAAGTACAAGGACCTTGAAATAGAAATCTCGAAAATGTGGCATATGGGAACATCAACAATCCCTGTTGTAGTTGGAGCCCTAGGACTGGTTGGAAAAATTGCAGTAGACTAATTGAAGCGATTCCTGGAAGTCCATGCCTCAAGGAGATACAAAAAATTGTTCTGACAAGTACAGCCCACACCTTACGAAGGGCTTTATCTATGTAATTTTTTTTTTTTTTTTTTTTTGTCAGTGGAAAGTGTCATGACGCCATTTCTAACCTTAGGTCCCTGGGCGGGACCCGGAAAGAAATGTGTAAACGCCAGAAATCAAAGAAAATAATAATAATAATAATAATAATAATAATAATGATAACAATAATAATAATAATAATAATAATTGCAAATTACTGCCCACACTTTACGAAGGGATTTATCCATGTAAAATATAAGTGATTTCTTTTTCAAAGCTTCTCAGTGGAAAAAGTCATGATGGCAATTATGACCTTAGGTCTCTGGTCTGGACCCGGAAAGAAATGAGTACACACCAGAAACCAAATGAAATGGATTAAGTCTAACAATTATTTAAAATATTTTCTGTTTATACCTTATTTTTATAGATATAATTTAAGAAAATGGTCTGTATTTTAATTAGTGTTAATTCAGTCCGGTAAAAGTAATAATACTATTTAATTTTAAAAAAATAGAGTATTTACTTAAATAAATTGTACATATATACCTCATCAATGTGGCTAGACATTCAATCGCTTCAAGCCGGGTTCGAAACTCGACTGATTTCGCGTCAGTCAAAAAATACCCCTAAGCTATTCAAGCATGTTTAGTTTAATAATCTAGGCATATTATGTCTATTTATTTTAATTTAAATGCTTCCATTAAGCTCATTAAGGAAGCCGAAGTAGTTTCTCTCATTCCTTTTATTTTCCCAAGTACTTTTAATTTCATCCAAGATCATCTTCAGGGGTGAATTACTACGACAAAGACTAATGTAACAGTATAATATGGTCAGTTAGGCAGCGTCTGTGAGAAAAAGAGCACCATACACTCCGCCAGAAATTTGGAAAAAAACCATGCTGTACTGCTTGGCATTGTCTCCGTAAGCTCCAATATGAAAATTTCAGATTGTTTGGGTGTCAATCTAAGGACAGTTCAGAAGATTCAGAAAGATTTGGATGAGTCTAATGATGATTACGAAGTTACAGTAGCTCGGAAAACTCACTCTGATCTTTCTGATAAGAAAAGAACTACCGAATTTGTTGACGGTGGCCTCAGACTCATCACGAGGCCTATATCAAGTGCCTTGAGGAGGTAGGGCTGCCTTAGGTCAAGAGGGTGGCTTCTGGAAGACCCTATGTCCGGCAACAGGACTCTGCACCATGCCACACAAACAGAAAAACCAAGTCATGATTTCTGAGACCGCATCACCCCCTTACATCTAGCCACCTAACTCTTCAGACAGCGACCCCCTTGATTATAATGTGTGAGACGCAGTTGAAGCTAATGGCGAATTTATTGAATAAATTTATTCGTTAGTATTTCAAAATAATTTTGTCTAATTTTGGTAAATATGTCTGTTAAAATATGTTAGTGTTATTTTCATTTTTTGTATGAATTAGATGACAGTTTATCCATATCGCTCATTGAGTGGTGGTGTTAATATTCAAGCCGGTAGATGGAAATAAATAAATATACTGTTTAATAAATAAATAATTAATTCAAATATAAGTATTAACTTCAAAAATAAAGTTTAAACAAAAATGAATATATATATATATATATATATATATATATATATATATATATATATATATATATATATATTTCTTGGACATTCAGGCCGGTAAATGTTGTTAATACTGTTTATTATTATAAACAA